AAGAAAGAAAGAAAGAAAGAAAGAAAGAAAGAAAGAAAGAAAGAAAGAAAGAAAGAAAGAACAAGGAAGGACAGGATTTACCAACCTCAATTCCAACTGGGGTCTGCGCCTATGAATTCTGAAATAAGGGGTAACTGGGGAACTTGCTCTTGAAGTGACCATATGCCACAACACCAGGTTCTAATCTAATAAAATATGGATGATAAAAGTGATTATACATGAACTAAATCAAATACCAAGAACAAATACTTACAGTGAAATTGGAAAACAAAATTTATAAATATATGCTGAAAAAAAACAAAACCTGGTATATATTTGTAATTTTGATGGATTGTTGAACTGGAATTACATTCACACTGTTCTTAACTCCTGCTTAATATTACTGAGCCTAATTTTACCTAAGCTGCTGTTGACTTAACGTTAAGGTGCCAGGCTGAATCTCGGATAAGCATGAGACTAACTGCAGGACAGTGAAGAGAATTTGCAGCCTTGCTGTAGCAGTTCTTCACGGTGCCCATCATCCATCCTCACTGCCTGGCCCTTAGGGACTGACGTTTATCTCCACTGATTCTTAATATCTCCAGAATTCTAGCAGGAGGAACTTGACACTTGATTAAGGTAATAAGAGGCAAGCTTCATCTTAACAGGTTCTTTGGCGATTTGTAGGCAAGAAGCCAGACACCTTGGGCTCCAACACACGGTTGTACAAATGGATCCCCCAAAATGACCTTCTCGGTAAGCATCAGGATACACCTGAGATATAGTAATGGCTCCTCAGGAGAGGAGATGTCAACATTAATGCATTTATGACAACTGTGATCTAGTCCTGGAGAAAAGATAAAGAACTGATGTGAATATGTTGGACAGTAACATTTGAGATAGGAAGATCCAGTTATACCTCACTGTAATTACTTTTCAGATATATCAAGTCACTTCTTTTCCTCCATTTCTTATTTCTTCAACTTAGCATCTTCCTGTTCCCCTGCTGTAGGGCAATTTTTAATGTCAGTGAGAATGGTATTCTTTCATTAATAACTCTTCATTTACTCTGCTCCCCGAAGACTCCACAACATGAAATGGTCCTACACACGGTGAAGTATTTACTTCCCTCAGTCTGATTCCATCAAAATGAACACCCAACCCCTACTCTGTGGAGCCAACCTGTCCAGAGCATTGACTTCTCTGTTACTTTAGGAGAACATTCTCTCCTGAACCACTGACTGTGCTGGCACAAGCTGTTTGCTCCACTTGGTTTGAGCTCTGCCGTTTTGGTCCATTACACAAAATCTTTCTATTTTTCACACTCTGCCTCCTCTCTGTGACTCTCACTGAATCGCTATGGACTTGTTGTGCTCCTTGTGCTAAGACATGAGAGGAATTCAGTACAGTCCTATGGTTATGATAATGTTGTGCAGAGAATTTTTGCCTTTTCTGTGCCTTTTTCCCTGACTCATTTTCTTTCTTGAGTTATGATTAATACTTTTCCATAATTTCTCTACTTGCTAGGTCATCCTAAAACCAGAGCTTTTATAACTCATGGTGGCACCAACGGCATCTACGAGGCCATCTACCACGGGATCCCTGTGGTGGGCATTCCTTTGTTTGGAGACCAATTTGACAATATTGTTCACATGAAGATCAAAGGAGCAGGGGTTCGACTGGACTTTCACACAATGTCCAGCACAGATTTGCTCCACGCAGTGAAGACAGTCACTAATGACCCTTCGTGAGTACACTGATTTTTTAATTCATAGTGTTCAAGATAAATTTCCTCAACAACAACTGTGGATTTCATCTAATATTTATTCTAGTTTTAAAGAAAAATCTGTTAGCCACTGTTGAATGAGCTTTTATTGTAAACCAAGACTCAAGCTACCCCCATAGACTTACTGTACAAGAACTTAGTTTACAAGACTTTGGCACTGGGACCCTTTTTCTCTTGCTAAATGAAAGACACAAATGCCTCAAAGATGATCAAATCAACAAACAGCATATTGAATCTGAAAGATGGAAAATGTATCAATTCAATGCCTTCAGTTTCCAAAACTCTTATTGTTAAATAATCCACATTTATTCAAGAGTAGCTAATTATACATACATACATACATACATACATACATAAAATATATAAAGCATAATCAGGATACTCACATTTCCATCACCTTAAACTCTTAGTATCTCATTTGTTCAATGTTCCCCTTTTACTTCTTATCAAATTTGAATATTGTAACTCACAGTCACTGCCTCTGCTATAGTGCACTATCCTGTTATTCAGTAGTAAGATGTATCTGTTAGCTGACCTCTCTCTAGCCCCATTCCCTCCCTCACTTCCCAGACTGCAGTTACCCCTGCTCTATTCTCTACTTCTATGAAGTCAGCTCTAGTATTTTCCACATAATGGTAAGAACATGCAGTGTTTTCTCTTAGGATCTGGTTTACATGACTTAATAAAACATCCTCCAATTGCATCTTGTAACTGTAAATGTCTTCTTTGTAATTACTGAATAATATGTATCTTTGTTATTGTATAATATAAAACATATTCAGTATTTTCATATCACTTTTTAAGCCATCACCCCACAATGGGCATCTCAGTCAATTCACTTAGCTATTATGGCTAGTGCTGCAAAAGCCATGGACATGCAGGTCTATTTGATAGATTATTTACTATTTCTTTAAATAGACTCCTAGTAGTGGGAAAGTTAAAACCTGGGGTATTTTTCTTTTCAGTATATTTAGAAAATCTGTGGATTTTTTCAAATATCCAAACCATATTACACTAACCAATCTCAGTAAGATTTCTACTTTCTAATATGAACATGTGGGTGATTGGGTAAAGGTTCTTTAAAGCAGCTCTAGCCGCATGAGTTCTGTCTCTGGAATTCATGTTGTGGAGGAAGTGAACTGACTCCTATAAGTTGTCCTCTCACCTCCACACATGTACTGTGAAAATGCATGCAAATATAGGCACACACGTACCACATACAAATGTGTTTTTTAAAAGAATCAGACTTTCTCTGAATGCCTGGCAGGCAATATATGGGTATTGTGTTTGTGTTGAATTCAGGCTGTTGGATATTCCAGGCAGGCTATCAATGAGCTATATCCTCAATATTTATATCATCTTTTGAAAAACATGTATCTTTCTCATCATTGATCAGTTTTTAATAAGTAATAAGGATTTTTTGGTGAGATTTTAAAGAATTTCATGGCATAACCAGTCCTCAAAAATATCAATATGTTTATTCTGCATTCAACTATAACACTTACAGTGGTTGGAATGACTTAATAACATTTAATGTCCTGAAAAGATTTAGTTCTCAAAATTATTTTCCATTTCATTTTTGAAAAGTACTTCTCAGAGAATACCAATTTGCAGTCTAACTTTCAAACATGCCCTACCCCAAGCCATACCTCTCCTTCTGCTCTTGTATGACTACACTCAATCTCATTATGCTTTCTCAAATCTTTCACAGGCCTGATGCTCTTCAGTAAATAATTAACATTCAGTGTTGATGTTTTTGTGTTTCTCCTTTACATCTGTCTTCAGCTTTAAGGAGAACGCCATGCGGCTATCAAGAATCCACCACGACCAGCCAGTGAAGCCCCTGGACAGAGCCGTCTTCTGGATTGAGTACGTCATGCGCCACAAAGGGGCCAAGCACCTTCGTGTGGCAGCCCATGACATTACCTGGTTCCAGTACCACTCTCTGGACATGCTTGGATTCCTGCTTGCCTGTATGGTGACTGGGATGTTCATCATCACAAAGTGTTGCCTGTTTTGCTGCCAGAGATTTGCAAAATCTGGAAAGAAAAAGAAAAGGGAGTAGCTGAAGTGGGGAGGACTGACACACGGACCTCCTCCAGTGCATCACAGCAAGGGAGGCTGTGAGGGGAGCTCCTTCATCCTGTGACAAGGTCACTTCTCTCTCTTAGGCTCATCAATTCAGAACATTATTTACAAAGTTTTAAGGATTGACCATATGCTAGAAATATTTTTGGTCACAGTGCAAGAAACTAGGAAAAAGTAACAGTCAATCTATATTACTGCCTTTAAAAAGATACTTCTGTGGTGCTGAAGAGATAAGAACATCTCCATGCTTATGAGCACTTTTTGTTCTTGGAGAATATCTGAGTTTTACCTCCAACACCGACAGACTGCTAACAGTCATGAGTAACTCCAAAGTATCTCATGCCCTCTTCTGACTCCCTCAGACACTACATGCACACATACATGCCGGCAAACACATTCATGCACATAAATAAAAATAAATCTTTAAAAAATGGCTGTAAGTTATATGTTCTCCCCCATTATTTTCCAGGCTTAATTCCAGATCATAAGTAAATGATGGCCATAGGTCCTTCAAAAATCCACACATAATGTCTATATTGTTTTGACAATACTCCACATATGTTAGCTTCACAGTTGCAGAACTGTGTAGTTTTGTGGGGTTTTTTGTTTTGTTTTACTTTTCCCAAACAAGATGTCCAAAGACTTACACTTTGTGGTGGCTCGAATGAAATGACCCCAATTTGCTCCTAGGGACTGGTATTATTTGAAAGGTTTAGAATTTGTGTCTTTGTTAGAGTCGGTATGGATTTGTTGCAGGAAATGTGTCACTGAGGGTGAGCTTCGAGATTTCAGAAACTCAAGTCAAGTCTGGTGCCGCACTTGTTCTTCCTCCTGCCTAACAATCCAGATGTAGAACTCTCAGCTCCTACTCCAGCACCTCATCTGCTTAAGCACCACCGTGCTTCCCACCATGACTATACCCCCGATAACACAAGGGCTGCTTCTCCCAGGGTAACAAGTACCCTGAAAGTGGACCCACACCTCTACTACTGTTCCTAGGTCCAACACCCCTGTCTCATCCCTGGCTCTGTATCAGGAAACCTGCTGTGGTCTCCCTTTCCTCTCTGACCTCATCTCCAAGGAATCACAAAAACCTTCTTCAACCTTCCTACCCCCAACTCATCCCCGTACCTCAGCCTCCAACACCAGAAACCATTCTCTGTGACCAGATCAGCTTAGAAGACCAGGAAGACAGGCAACACACAATCATTCCACTCTCCAAATTTCAGAGAAGAGACAGACACCAAGGAGCAAACCCTTCCCCAAACAGAGACAAATCCAGAAATCAGCACATAGACCTGTAATCATCCAAAACCCATGAGCTTAGCAGCCAACATAAAAACACAATCAATAGCAGCCTAAACAATATGTCCCAACTAGAGCCCGGCTATCATCCCGTATCAGGTCATGAATATTCCAACATAGCTGAAGCACAGGAAAAGGATCTTAAAACCAACAAAATGAAGATAATAGATGTCCTCAAAAAGGAAATAAATAGGTCCCTTCACAAAATCCAGAAAACAATAAAAAGTTGCATAAAAGGAAACTAATAAAGTCCTAAAATGGAAATAAAATCAATACAGAAAACACAAATGAAAACAATTCTAAAACCAAAAGAAGAAGCTACAGAGTCAAATTCCACCCACAGAATATAAGAGACAAAATAAAGAGTCTGAAGTATTGAAAATACGATCAGAAGAAATGGATACATTGGTCAAAGAAAATGTTAAATCTAAAAAAAAAAAAATCTGACACAAAACATCCAGGAAATTTTGGACACTATGAAGAGACAAAACCTAAAATAGGAATAAAAAGATCAGACACCCAACTCAAAATCCCAGAAAATATTTTCAACAAAATCATAGAAGAAAAATTTTCTTTTTTTTCTCTGGTAGGAATATTTATTAAGAGATAATTCCTTACACATATGTACAAAGCCATGTGATGAATTCCATAGTTGTCTTAGCATTGTATGTAGTTGCAAAAGTATTTGGAAATAGATACAAATAAAACATTGAAATATATTATAGTACATACAAATTTAAGCTAGCTGTTAAAATGTGTAGTATATATTTATGAATAATAAGATACATAAAATGTTAACAGTGGGATATGCAAGAATATACATATAATGTATGAACTATGTTGAAACTTCTGTACTGTATACACATACTAATTATCACATAAGCAAGTTTTAAAGTAAACATTATATGAGAATTTTTTTCAGTTTTTTTTATTAATTTATAAAAATTTCCACTTCCGCCCCTCCTCCCACTACCCTCCCACTCCCCTCACTCCCTCTTCTCCCTCTCAAGTCCTAAGAGCAGTCAGGGTTTCCTGCCCTGTGGGAAATTCAAGTTCCTCTCCCCTCCCTCCAGGTCTAGGAAGCTGAGCATCCAAACAGACTAGGAAGAAAAATTTTCTAACCTTAAGAAGCTCAGTCACACTACAAGAAGAAAACAGAACAACAAATTGACTGGACCAGAAAAGAAAATTCCCTCTCCACATAATTATCAAAACACTAAACTACAGAACAAAGAATATTAAAAGCTGCAAGGGGAAAAGGCCAAGTAACATATAAAGGGAGACTTACTAGAATTACACCTGATTTCTCAAAAGAGAATCTAAAAGCCAGAAGAGCCTACACAGATCTGCTGCAGATTCTAACAGACCACAGAAACCAGCCCTGATTACGATATCCAACAAAACGTTCATTCATTATAGGTGGAGAAAATAAGACATTCCATGATAAAGTCAAATTTAAGCAACTTCTATCTACAAATCTAATCCTACAGAAGATGCTAGAATGAAACCTCCAACCTAAGGATGTTAACTACACCTATGAAAACATAGGAAATAAACTCACAGTATAAAAATCAAAAGAAGGGCAGCACACAAACACCACCAAAAATAAGAACAACAATAAAAACAAAATAACGTGATAAAGGCCTTGGAGAGAGCAGGGATACAAGGAACATACCTAAACATAATAAAGCCAATATACAGCAAGCCAACATCAAACTAAAAGTGAGAAACTCCCAGCAAATCCATTAAAATCAGGAACAAGACAAGGTTGTCCACTCTTTCCATATCTATTCAATGTAGTCCTTGAGGTCCTAGCTAGAGCAATAAGACAACGAATCGGGGAAAAAAGTCAAACTCTCACTGTTTGCTTATGATAGTTTATATAACTGATCCCAAAAATTCTATCAAGAAACTTCTACAACTTATAAACACTTTCAGTAAAGTAGCAGGACACAAGATTAACTAAAAAAAAAAAACAGTAGCCCTCCTGTACACAGATGATAAAAGAGCTGAGAAAGAAATCAGAGAAACACCACCCTTCACAGTAGCCACAAATAGCTTAAAATATCTCGGAGTAACTCTAACCAAACAAGTGAAAGACTTGTATGACAAGAACTTTAAATCTTTGAAGAAAGAAAGTGAAGAAGACACCAGGAAGTGGAAAGATCTCCCATGCTCTTGGGTAGGCAGAATTAACATAGTAAAAAATAGTAATCTTACCTAAAGCGATCTACAGATTCAATACAATGCCCATCAAAATCCAAGCAAAATTCTTCAAAGACCTTGAAAGAATGGTATGCAACTTTACATGGAAAAGCAAAAAACCCAGGATAGCCAAACAATCCGGTACAATAATAGAACTTCTGGGGGCATCACAATCCCTGACTTCAAACTCTACTACAGAGCTATAGTACTGAAAACAGCCTGGTATTGGCATAAGAATAGGCAGGAGGATCAACAGAACCGAAGAGAAGACCCAGATATTACACACCTTTGAACACCTGATTTTTGACAAAAAAGCAAAAAATATCAAATGGAAAAAAAAGCATATTTAACAAATGATGCTGGCCTAACTGGATCTCAACATACAGAAGAATGAAAATAGACCCATATCTATCACCATGCACAAAACTCAAGTCCAAATGGATTAAAGACCTCAATATAAATCCAGACACACTGAATCTTCTAGAAGAGAAAGTGGGAAGTACATTGGAACACATTGGCACAGGAGACCATTTTCTAAATATAACCCCAGCAAGCAGCACAGACACAGAGAGAAAAAACTAATAAATGGGACCTCCTGAAACTGAAAAGCTTCTGTAAAGCAAAGGACATGGACAACAAGACAAAACAACAGCCTACAGAATGGGAAAAGATCTTCACTAACCCCACATCAGATAGAATGGGACCAAATCAGTAGCCTGTGCATTCCAACCTCCCCACTCATACACCAAACAGCAGAGACAAATTTGACAAGACACAACATAGCGGTATTTCATATGTACAAATTACTTAAAATCCATTTCAGTTCTTGTATAAGCTGTAACATATTGCATAATTTGTGTTTATATTTTTCAGATAAAATTAGAAGATTGGATGATTTTTTTAATTAAAATATTACTTCTCTCCCATTTTCTTCTTCCATCCTTTCCTATTTACCCCCAACTCACCAACTCTGAAAATCATGGCCACTTTTGTCTTATAGTTACACATGCATACATACACACACACTTAGACTCTGATCAGTCTTTTTAGTGTTATTTGAATATATGTGATTTCAGGCCATTGGATAACCAATTGGAAGGTTTATCACTAAGACAATTATTTTTCCCTCTCTCAGCATTCCTTACTTGCAGTCTTTGTCTATGGGCAAACCTCTGTGAGGTTTCTGACTTTCAATGTCATTAATATGTCTAATGGTGTTATATTTGATCAGGTCTTATTTTCACAGCCATATTAAGGTGTCATGAGTGAAGCTTCCCTGTCATTTCTAGGAGACAGCCTCGTGGCACCTTTCCCGGTCCTCTGGCTCTTGAGTAATATTTATCATATCTTTAAAACCCCAGTGAGGGTTTTGTGGACTTAAATTTTTTTTTAAACAAAGGCACTTTTATTTATGAAAGGGATGCTATGTTTGTAAAAACTTTCAAAAGCTATTCTCCCTTGTTATAGGCTAGACTGGACTGGAGATGACCCAGGGGTGTTGATGATGGTATGTGGGCATTTTGTCCCTCACCAAGCCAGGGTCGCATCAAGCAAAACTGGCCAAGAACTGGGGCCAGGATGGAGGACAGGGTGTACTTTGGAAACTGGCACTTGCTATATAACCTGTATGTGGTCAAATATCCCAGACACTGAGATGCTTTATGTCCATTCCAGAGTGTATCTTGCTAGAGGGACTAAAGATGTTCTGAACTCCCTTTAATTCTGCTGTCTGTGCTCTTTGCTGGTTTGTCTTCTGCTCCCTCATCTGATGGGTACACTTACTGGCTTGGGTCATCAGCCCATGGAGCACTCCTGACCTCAGCTTCTGACTCTTTCCATTATTTATTCTTTGGGATAAATTTGGTAACAGGACCCAGATTCTCCCTTCTGGGTCCTGTTTACAACCCTTATATGTCTGGTACAGGTCACTCTCCAAATAACTAAATGAGCTCAATGCATTAACTTCAAAAGTCTTGAAAATATTTGAGACACAAAATTTTACTGTAACTATGGAATATTTACATAAACGAAACAACTGAAAACGACCATACCTGTGGAGCAGTTACAAAGACTCTGCAGCATTAATATAGATCAACAAACAGAACAGACTCAAAGTGGACCTGGTTGTATACAGGAAGTTCATTGGGCAACCCCCCATGGACTGCTTAATTAATATTTTATAAATATATTTCCACACTAAAATTTTGTCAAAATAGATTACTCTTCTATTGTTGTGATAAAACACAGTGACCAACGCAACATATAGAATAGTTATTTCAGGCTTATGGCTCCAAAGGGACAAGAAGTCCATCACTACCATGGCAAGGGATCATGGGAGCAGACAGGCAGGCTTTGGAGCAGCAGCTAAAGTTCTCATCTTGAGCCATAAACAGGAAGTAGAAACTCAGTAAAATATTTCCTCAAGTAAGGCTATACTTTCCAGTCCTCCCCAGTCGCTGACTCTGATGGAGATTTATGGGAGAACTCTCATTCAAACCACCACAGACAGGGTCGGGTACAGGGAAAGGTATTTAAAGTCATTCATCTGGAGCTGGAGAGATGTTTCAGTAGCTAAGAGCACTTGTTCTTGCAGAGGACTTGGGTTTTCTTCAGAGTCTGTAACCTCTGTTCTTGGGGATTTGGCGCCTTCTTCTACTCTCTGAGAACACTACATGCACATGATACACATAAAGACATGGCAGAAAAAGCACTCCAAAAAATTCATAAATAATATATATATATATATATATATAATCACTCACATGACTGTTCAATTACAAATGATTCTGAGACAATTATTCAGAGTGAGTAATAGCTTTAAATGTTCAAAATAAGTACAGTCCTTAAAAAAAGAGCACTTTTTATAATCTAGAGATGAAAATAGTATAAAGCCAAAATTACAAATACTCTCCATTTTAGCTGCACCAAAAATATAAGATTTTACACAGATTAAAAAAAGACAAAATAAA